TCAATCAGCTTCTGAAGCACAGGCAAATGTTTGTTCATGTTTATCTAATGCCTCTGAATGCATCTATACTCATTTTGTGAGTGCAACTGCAAGTGATGAAGAAACCTCTAACATCTTAGTTTGTTTTCAACTCCCACTAGAAATCTTTTACTCGATCATATACTTTATGTTCCACGGATAACAAAAAAACCTTCTATTAGTCTCAAAATTTGCTAGAGATAATACAGTTTATTTTGAGTTTTATGCCAATGTTTGTTATGTTAAGGATGAAAGCACAGGAGCTGTGCTGATGAGTGGAAGGCATGATGGTGGTTTATATAGCTTTGATTGTCAGAACATGGGAGAGTCAGCAGTTGTTCACAACACAATACTTAAAGATAGTGCAGAATATTGGAAGTGGAACAAGAGACTAGGACACGCATCAATTGAAGTCGTGAAAGCTGTCCTTAATAAACTAATTCAAGTGGACAAAACAAGCATATGTACAGCCCTGTCATATGGGAAAAAGTTATGTACCTCGTTATATAAACAGCAAAAAAGTACAAAAACCAGCCCCGTGCATGGCTTTCCTCGTCATTAATTTCATGTATCAATTCTTTTTATAATTATTATCAGCTTGATTTTGTCTCAAATATGAAGTGGATTTAGCTAAATCTGCCGATTTTTTTATTGGCTTTAGCTTCTGGATTCTTCCATTTCTCGCTACTCTTTGCTAATTAATATAAATTTATCGCACAAATCATGTGCACCAATGAGTTGTAATTATACCCTTTTTTCCTGCACGCTTTCACTTTGTCTGGCTAGGTTAACATCAATTGGATTTGGGGCAGCTAAAATCAAATTTATTGTACTTGGGATGGGTATGAGACCTGAACTCGACGGGTTTCGACCCGATCCGATCGAGTTAGATTTTTTAAAATAATTTGGATTTAGGGTTGGATTGGATTGGATTTGGTCGGGTCGGTTTTTTAAAAGTGATGTTTAGGTCGGATCGGGTCGGATTCGGGTTTATGGTGAAAAATATCTGACCCGGCCCAAAAATATAATTTTACCTTATATATTTAGAAATAATTATAATAATATTTCTCTATATATTATTTTTTTCAATTAATTCACTGTTTTTATTGAATAAAAATAATATTTTTTATTATTTAAGGTTAAATCAAATCGAGTTTAGATTTTATCTCAAAAAATCAGGTCGAGTTCGGATTCGAGTCGAGTGAATAATATATATTTTTTTAGATCAAATCGAGTTAGATGAATGATATAAAAGTTTCAGGTCAAGTTGGTTTGACCGAAAACCAATCTATATCCATCGCTAATTATACTGCTAAGCTATAGCATGCTTTTGGACGCGTTAGTGGTTCATTTTTCAAGGTAATGTAAAAAATATATGGATAATCCTCTCATTTTATATACATTTAATAAATTGACAATAAAAAATATATATATATTATTTATTACTCGTGATTTATCGTAAATTTAGAATTTCAATTTGAACTATAATAATTTAACTTTTATTTCATATATGACTTTAAAAAATAAGGATAAACTTCACATTTAGCATCTATACTATCAATTTTGGTTCGTTTTAATACTTAAATTTTTTATTTTTTTAAAAATCAGATCTAATGTTTAGCTTTTATTTCATTTTAGTACACCATCGTTAAAAACTTAACGTGTTTAGTACCTAAACTATTAATTTTGATCCGTTTTAGTACCTAAATGTTCATTTTTTCAAAAGTTAAAGTGAAATTTTGAACCAAAACTAAAAAAAAAACTAAACTTTAGGTACTGAAATATATCAAAACTAATAATTTAGGTACTAAATGTGTAATTTACCCAAAAATAAATGACCCTTTTGTTAAAGAAGAAAAAACATACAATCGATGTGATGAGTAAAATACAATGAATTGTATCATCTTGTTGAAAATAATGTGCATATACATATTCTTGTTTTGGGGCTATCAATGCATAGACAATGACATTTCATACTCTTATTGTTTATACAACATGAATCTATCACAAAAATCAACCTCATCTTAGCTCACCATAAAAGCATTGCACCATATTGAACAATGACTAAAGCATGATATCCGATATAAAAGCTTCTTGTACTGGGCATCTTCTGATTATAGTTTAAATCAATGTTATCAAATTCGGACCGGATCGGTCAATTCGACCAGTTGAACCTAGAACCGGTTGTCTGTTCGGTCCAGTCAGCCTCCAAAACCGGTGTGAATCGGCAGTTCAAGCAGTTTACACGGTTTTATTTAAAAAAAAATTAAACCAAACGACGTCGTTTGTTATGATTTTTTCAACCCTAAATTTATTTTCTGATTTTGCATCTGGGTTAAGCCATTTTCACGAACTTTTGCAAGCGATGAACCCTATCCTTTTTCCACTTATATATGTTATGAATTGTGATATTTTTATTAATTTTAATATTGTGAACTTAAAAAGAGTGTTATATATATATATATATATATATATTAATATTACTTTGAATATTATGTAAAATTTTAAAAAAAATATTATTTTATATAAACTGGTTCAACCGCGGTTTAACCACAGTTGAACATGTGAACCAGTACCTTCACCAGTTTAAGGTCCGGTCTGGTTTTAAAAATATTGGTTTAAATTTTAAATTATTATTATTTATAAATATATTCATAATCTAATTAACTATTTGAACATTAAATGATGATTTAGATATATAACCAAGTACATCTAAAACACATGTATCAAATTTTAGCATCTTCAAATAGTTCGCTTAAATTTAATGTGTTAAATTTTAGATACACCTTTTAGTGCTGTGTCTATTCCTTTTAAAGGATTTTTTTCCCTGTTAATGAATGAACGTTTGCACTAAATAAATAGCCAGTGATATTACTATTTTGTATACTTTAAAAATATAGATTGAAATGGAGGTTGATCAATTCCAATGGTGGTTTTAGATATTTAATTAGGTAAATTGATGACAAGCGGATAAATTACTTAGTTCAATAGGATAATTCAAAATTTATTTTAGGTTTGACGGTATTTGATTTTGTTCGAAAGGTTTATTTTCGATTTCTCAAAAAGATTATTGATCACGTTCTTAGGTACCAGTACATAACATGTTTGAACTAAATTAAAATGAAATTTGCCAAAATATAATTTAATAAAATATTTAATTTTATATACTATAAATTATTTGAATAATAAACAAAATTATAATACAAAAATATATTAATATAACACAAATGCAGAATTACAATTCAACATTACCCAAATCCGAACCCATTGACAAGTGAATTTTGTTCTCTTTGCCTGCTTTGGTTCAAGTTTGTCTTTTAGTTTTGTACCCATGAAAATTAGCTGAACAATGATGAGGAGAAAGCACGCAAAATATTGGAGCTCGGTGAGAGTAAGCTTACAAACGAACCGAACATTCAACGAACCGTTTAACGGGAAGTTCGCTTACATTTATTTATTTATTAAACGAGCGAATATGAATAAGATTTTATGTTCGTTTAAGTAAATGAACGAACATGAACAATGGGCGCGTTTGTTCATTTATGTTCGTAAACGTTTGATAATATGTTCGTTCATGTTTTCCAGACCTGTTTGAAATATTAGGGGGTTGTTTGTTTACTGCTGAATGGAACCATTCAGCGCTAAATGCTAAACCGTTCATCATTCTGAATGAAACAATAAAACACTGCTGAATGATTCAGCATTAAAGTACATTCTGGATCATTAAGCACTCGGTATTTTACCATAATACCTATTTTTTCACATGTTATCTTATTAAACAATTATATCTTATAATATAATAAATCATTATGAAGGTAAAAATGAAAATATTCATAATTCAGATTGTACATTCAAAACCATTATCAAACAACATGTCACATTCAGAGCTAATTCATACAGAATCTTTGAATCATTCAGGCCATTGAATTATTCAGCGCTTAATCATTTTATTTTATCAAACAGCCCCTAAGACTTAATAAATTTTAACCTTAAACCTATTAATATTTAAAACCCAATTAATTTTAAACCCAAATAAAAATACTTAAATCAATTAAAGAAAATATAAACCCTAAAATTATTTGGATAGAAAAAACTCTTCTTAAATATAAACTCAATTAATTTTATGTTCGTTTGTTTATGTTCGTTAACGTCCGTTCATTTGTGTTCGTTTATCATTTTAACGAACGGATATAAACGAACACGAACAATAAATTCCGTTCGTTTATTTGTTCGTGTTCATTCGCTTGTTGGATTAAAGTAACACAAACGAACATTAACAAACTCTCGTCGATGTTCATTCAATTCGTTTACCATTGTAAGTGTGAGAATTTTTAGAGCCTTGCCACTTGAATTTTTGCTTATGATGGGTGATCAAATTGATTGAATGTAGTGTGGATCTTAGATTTTAGATCATGCGCTGTTTGTATATAGTGGGTGAATATGAATATCTATCCAATCTTTATTACAAGGTTTTAAGTCACTCATATTTGTTATTTCATCTCAAAATTTTTAAAGAGTCGAACATATTTTAAAATGATTAATTATTTATCTAATCATTCATTAGTTCCGGAAAAGCTCTGTGTGAGAACATTACTAAATTCTTTAGAAACATAACGCTCGTGTTGGGCCTGATAAGCTTAATTCTAGCTCGAATGTCTGTAACCAAATTGAAACCCAAAACGTTTAGAGGCCGACAATAGCCTGATTTGAACTAAATAATTAGACCCCAAAAGAGCCTCCGTAAACCCTAACGAGGAAGAGATACGGCTTCAACCTGACGGTCATTGGGATTAGAATTACGGAGTAGAAGAAGCCAGTCCATACTAGTGTAGGGATAAACGAAGCGTAAAAGAGAAATAGCCGAGCTGAAGGATTTGGTGTCGGTAAAACACTAGATGACAAGGGGAAGGAAGAAGACAAATCGCTGCAGCTTGAAGAAACGTTTGGTTTCAGATATTTTAGTGACTGATTCTGGAATTTGAAACGGTGATAGTTGTAATTCTAAAAGATTTCACTTGGAGGAACAGTTGAAATCGGATTGCAGCATCCATATCACTTGTCCCCCAAAACACCTGGAATTGGCATTTACTAGTTTAGGATTCATAGGCAAGAAATTGCAGTCTGTCGGCGTCTTGGATAGAATAAGTAGTTTGCCCGATCATATTCTTTGTCGTATTTTGTCGCTCCTTCCTATTAAAGATGTAGTCCGGACCTCAAAAATTTCACTCAGGTGGAGGTATCTCTATGCTTTCTCAGTGTCTATCATTGATTTTAATGATTGTTTACCACATATCTCACTACCTAGTGAAAATGATATCATTGATTTTAATGATTGTTTACCACAGTTCCCGGTACCTAGTGAAAATGATAACAACTTTCTGGATTTTGTTGATAGATTCTTTTCTGTCAACAAGCATTTAAGTTTAGAATGTTTTAGGGTGAATGACTATTGGGTGACGATGGATGACATTCAACCGTATGAGGGTTTTTTACACCTTAATGGTTGGATATGCTCTGCACTGTGGTGTGGTGTTAAGGAAATTGATATTAGATTTATATATGAAGATGTTTCCACTTTATCAACTCTTCTGTTTAGTTGCCAATCACTGGTGACATCGAAATTGAATATCAGAGTCAGAGGTAATATGAAGGTTCCATCTAACACTTGTTTGCCAAATCTGAAGACTCTACATTTTTCATTCTCCAAGTTTCAAGATGGTTATCCAGTTATTAGGTTAATTTCCAATTGCCATGTCCTAGAAAATTTGGAATTTATTTATTGCGAGTTTTGTAACATAAGAGAGCTTAATATCCATAACCTTTCCCTTAAGAGGTTGGTTTTAGATTTCGGTGACTTGTATATTCAGTCTCACAGAGGTTTCAACTTCATCGAGATCGATACCCCAAATCTTGTTTATTTCAAATATGTTGATGCAATGGTTGAAGGCTATACGTTAAGTGACATGAAATCTCTAGAAAGAGCTGATATTGATATCACTCTATTAGCTAGTGTGGATTATGAACGTGCAACATATCTTCTCAAGAGAATTTGCAATGTACAGTCTATTTAGCCTTTGAAGATTTCTCTGGAACGGTTAGTGAACTTAGCAATATTTAAGGTCATTGTCTTGAATATCGAAGTCGTTTCTTTTAACAATATATAATACTTGGTTTTTCGTGTACAGCTTTTTCTGGCACCTCTTGATCCAATGCTTGCATTTAAAAACCTTGTTGAACTGCACTATCATAATTACTATACTGATGATCAAGGAACGTGGATTGTAAAGCTTCTACATTGCATACCTAATCTAAAGACACTTAAACTTTGTCTGGTATGAAGGCTTCTTTAACTATCATTTAAGATTTAGTGTACAAATTTGATTTTTTAGTTACCTACTGTGAATACTCATTGGTATTAACCGTTTTAATATCAAGTACACCCAAAACCCTATTACAAACTTTCTTATCTCCTTCTTTTGTATGCGTAGGAAATTAATTCGGAAGGTTTCACATCATTGCCTACAGCAGTGCCTTTGTGTTTGTTATTTCACATCAAAGAGATTAAAATCATATACTTTGACGGAAATGAGCATACATTTGAAATGATTAGTTATTTCTTGAAACATGCATCAGTTCTGGAGAAGCTTGTATTTACAATTATTGATCCATGGAAGAAAGAAGAATCAGATATCATTGAAAAACTATCGAGTTTACCGAAGAAATCAAAGAAATGTGAAATCGTGACTCCCTAATATTTCATTTTGTCTCTTCTATTTTGTATTGTTTTAGAGAAACTTCATTGTCTCGATTCGTTTGGTTTCGCATAACACTTTTTTGTTGCAAGTAGCAAATGCTGTGATATTATTGACATTGTTTTACAGTTTCAATTATACTTATCAAAATGTGATACAACTTGCACTAGTAAACACTTCTTATGTTTGCCTGATAGAATCTGTTGGTGACTCTGATAGAAAAAGTAATTTGCCTGATCATTTTCTTTGCCGTATGTTGTCCTTCCTTTCCATTAAAGATACAGTTCTAATATCAATTGTTTCACCCAGGTGGAGGTATCTTTCTGCTTCATCTATTTCTATCCTTGATTTTAATGGTTGCTTATGTGTATGTCAAAGCCTATCGAAAACGATAACAACTTCCTGAATTTTGTCGATAGATTCTTTTCCAACCCCAAGCAGGTTTGTCAAGAATTCTTGAGGGTGAATGAGCAGTGGGTGAGGAAGGATGGAATTCAATAGGGTGAGAATTATTTAAACTTTCAGCCTTCCGAGATTTCAATGCTGTTAATATTAATTCCCGAAATCTTGTTTATTTCAAATATGTTGAGGGAAAGGCTGAAGAATGTACTTTAAGTGAAATGAAATATTGATAAGTTATTCTTTGAAACATGCATTAGTTCCGGAGAAACTCATAATTCGATCTATGACCAGTGTGACAACATATACTTTTTTTTTCCGATTTCAAGTGAGGACATATACTAATTCTTCGGGAACATGTCGCTTTTGTCGGGCCTGATAAGCTTAAGTCTAGTTCGAATGTCTGTAAACAAATTGAAACCCAAAAAGTTTAGAGGCCTACAATATCCTGATTTGAACTAAATAATTAGAAATACGGTTTCAGCTTGACAGTAATTGGGAGAGAATTACGGAGGCAACCCTGATTCACAGAGGAGGAGAGGCCGTACTAAGTTAGGGGTAAACGAAGAGTAGAAGAGCTATGCATTAAAGTGGCAACTAATTGCGGAGCTGAAGGATTTTTTGTCAGTAAAACACTAGAAGAAAAGGGGAAGGAAGAAGAAAAATCGCTGCAGCTTGAAGAAAGGTATGGTTTTGGATAACTTAGTGTCTGATTCTGGAATTTGATACAGAGATAGCGTAATTATAGAATAGTTGAGTTGGAGGAACTGTTGAAATCAGATACATGGGCGAGCAAGTAGAGTCTGTTGGCGACTTCGATAGAATAAGTAGTTTGCCCGATCATATTCTGTCATATTTTGTCGCTCCTTCCCATCAAAGATATAGTTCGAACTTCAATTATTTCACTCAGGCCGTGGAGGTATCTCTATGCTTCCTCAGTGTCTATCATCGATTTTAATGATTGTTTATCACGTGTCTCAGCGCCTAGTAAAAATGATAACAACTTTCTGAATTTTGTTGACAGATTGTTTTCTAACCCCAAGCAGTTAAGTTTTGAATGCTTGAGGCTGAATGACAATTGGGTGAGGAGGGATGAGGATTATTTACGCCTTAATGGTTGGATATGCGATGCACTGTGGTGTGGTGTTAAGGAAATTAGCATTAGAGTTATGTGAAGGTTCCATCTAACACTTGTTTGCCAAATCTGAAGACTGCATTTTGCATGTTCCATATTTCAAGAAGGTTATTCAGTGATTATGTTAATTTCCAATTGCCATGTCCTGGAAAATTTGGAATTTACTTATTGCGAGTTTGGTAACATAAGCAAGCTCAATATCCATAACCTTTCCCTTAAGAGGTTGGTTTTAGATTTCGGTGAGATGCATGTTCATTCTCAAATTGGTTTCAGTGTCATCGAGATTGATACCCCAAATCTTGTTTATTTCAAATATGTTGATGATACAATGGTTGAAGGCTATACGATAAGTGACATGAAATATCTAGAAAGAGCTGATATTGAAATCACTCTATTAGATAGAGTGGATTATGAAGGTGCGACAAATCTTCTCAAGGAAATATGCAATGTACAGTCCCTTTGTTTAGTCATTGAAGATTTCTCTAAAACGGTTAGTGAACATAGCAGTATTAAACTCATTGTCTTGAATATCAAAGTCTTCTCGTTTAACATCATATAATAGTTCTTGGATTTTTGTGTATAGCTTTTTCCGACACCTTTTGATCCAGTGCTTGCATTTCACAAACTCGTTGAACCGGAATTTCGTAATCAGTATAATGAAGATTGGCAAGGAACGAGGATTTGTGGAGTATCTACATTGCATGCCTAATCTAAAGACACTTATCCAGGACATGGTATGATGGCTTCTCTAAGTATCATTTAAGATTAGTGTATAAATTTATGGGTTTTTTTTTAATTACTGTAAACATTCATTGCACATGACCATTTTTGTGTATCCACAATCACAAACCTAAATACGCCCTAAACCCTGTTACAAACTAACTTTCCTTTTCTCTTTCTTTTGTATGCTTAGTCAAGCACGTCTGTAGAAGGGTTCAGGTCATTGCCTACAACAGTGCCTTTGTGTTTGTTATTTCATATCAAGGAGATTGAAATCAAACACTTTGAGGGAGAGGAGCATATGTTTGAAATGATTAGTTATTTCTTGAAACATGCATCAGTCCTGGAGAAGCATGTGGGGGAAGAACTATTGACTGTCATTAGAAAACTATTGAATTTACCAAAGGGATCAAAGAAATGTGTAGTCGTGACTCCTTAATATTTCACTTTGCCTCTTCTACTTTGTATTGTTCTAGAGAGACTTCATTGTCTCAATTGGTTTGGTTTTGTGTAACACTTTTATACCCTTTCTTTCTTCTTCAGTTCTAAACAAAACAGAAAGCTTCCTTGCCCATCTTTCAAAGATACTATCAGCCAAAACCCCTCTGATTCCGGTTGACCCCGTCGAATCGGCCTGTAGTTTTGTGGGAGTAGCTTTTTCCAACTTATGGTTCAATGGCCAAACAACCCAGATCAATGGGTTTCTTTGACAATTTACCTGATAATGTTCTTTGCCACATTTTGTCATATTTGTGTCAATATGACCACTGGACTATTTAAATGGTTTCAATATAGCAGCATGGCGTTAACGTTTAACGGAAGTGTTTATGTGACAGTTAACAAAGTTGATATAATTAGGATGTGGTTCCTTGTAAAGTTATGTATTATCGACGTTAGAACCCTACTTTGTTTTCTTTCATTTTGGTCACTACTTGTATAAGATTTGTTTCCTTAGATTTTCATTTAATGCAATTTGATCCCGATTCTATTTTTAATTTATCTAATGCCTTAATTTGAGCATTAACTTTAATTCTTAATTTTTAATTAGGTCCTAATTTTAATTTAATTTAATAAATTTATTTCTCCAATCAAATTATGACACATATCATAATCTGATTTAAGGAATTTTTTAATTTTAATTTTAATTTAATAAATTTTCAATCAAATCAAAAGATGACACGTATTATCCAAAGGAATCCAACATGGATCCCCAGGCTAACCTGCGCATGCTTTAATCATTGAGCTAATTCTCTTGTTATTGACATAGTACATATATTATATAACTTGTTCAAGTTTAGGCAAGAAAAAATAACTTAATTGGATTTCAACCCAAAATGAAATAGTAACCAAACAAACCTTAATCAATAAGCTAAATCTAATATTTAGGATATATATATATATAATAAAAATGGATAATTGAGAACTTACATCTAGACAAATTGAGAATATGACAACACTTAAATCGTTAAAATAAACACAATAGTTTATTTGCAATTGATTTAAGATTTTAATGTTTTTAAACTAAATTTATTATTTCCATATTTATTTTTTAATAATTATATATATGAAATTATTAAAAATCAAACTAAGAATATGACAACACTTAAATCGTTAAAATAAACCTAATAGTTTATTTGTAATTGATTTAAGATTTTAATATTTTTAAACTAAATTTATTATTTCCATATTTATTTTTTAATGATTATATATATGAAATTATTAAAAATAATTTAATATTCAAATTATAATAATAAGAAAAAATATTTAAGATTCCAATTATTAATTTATTTTTTGATTTTAAATTGTGCTCGTAAGTTTCGGGTATGTTAAATAAATTTTTAATTTAATTTTAAATATAATTTCATGTATATAATCATTAATAAATAAATATTTTAATTGATTCCTAAATATCATATTTAGCCTATTGGTTAAGGTTTTTCTTGGTTACTAACTAATATTGGGTTCAAATGCAATTAAGTTATTTTAGTTTTATTTTCCTGCCTAAATTTGAACAAGTTATATAACATATGTATTATCTGGATAACAAGTGTGGGAATTGAATCAACGATTAAATTCTAAAATTTAGAGGATTTAATCTATAAATTTAATATATGACTAAAATAAAAGATTTTAAAGTTAATGCTAAAATTAAGGCATTGGATTAATTAAAAACATAATTAGGATCAAAAGACATTAAATGAAAATCCAAGGAAACAAATCATATACAAGTAATGGCCAAAATGGAAGAAAACAAAGCAGGGTGTCAGCGCCGCGAATACATAACTTTACTAGGATATGCACCCTAATTATATCAATTTTATTAATTGTCACGTAACACATCCATTAAATGTTAACGAAATGTGGCTATATTGAAACCGTTTAAGTAGTTCAGTGGTCATATTGGCATAAATTTGAAAATGGTGGTCATTTTGAGACCACACTCATAGTTGGATGATCATTTATGTAGTTTACCTTTTTTTTAATAATTTAATATTAACGTATTTGAAAAAATAATTTATTACTTAATAATTTACTTTAATTACATAAAAATAAATACAAATTATAGATTTTTATATATTAAAATATTTATAATGAGTTATTATAAAATATATTTTTATTGTAATTATATTTTTATTTTATATTTTATTCATTTACAATATAATGTTTATAATAGACATTATATATTCAAATTCACTTTTTAACAATAAATTCAAATAATTAAATTTTAAATTATACTTTTATACTAACAATTTTAAAAAAGTGTAAATTACACAGTTCTTAATTGAACTTTACTCACTCTCTTATTTTTCTCACCCAACTTTCAATTTGATCAATTTGCTCATTGAACTGTACAAATTGAATCATTTTTGTTCACTCTACCGTTAACTATTTAACGACGTTATGATGTGGCACAAACATCAAAACGACGTCATTTCGGTGAGTAAAATAGGGGAAGAGAGAGAGATAGTAAAGTTCAGTGAATCATGTTGTAATTTACCCTTTTTTCCTTCTCTTCTTCATTTTCTCTTTGTCGGCCATCAGATCATTTTCATTTTGGTCACCGTCGAATGCCATAGAGGGTGACCGTTTGGTCATAAATTTCATGAGTCGATTTGTCTCGACCCTAAGTCCGAATCTAGTGGTTGTTTCACCGGAAAATATCCAAAAACTCATGCATTTGGACTGAAATGTTTCGGTTTCCTCACTTTCAATCTCAAATTTGTGGACTTCAGAACAAGTTCTGGCAAATTGGAGGTCTGATTCAGACTCAAGTTGTCAAGGTGAAGCTACCCATCCCATTTTAGGATTGAACGACCACCATCTACAACGGTCGACGGTGACATGATCACCTTTTATTTTTTTAATTATTTTATATTAAATAGTGAGAAAATGATCAAGTGAGCAAAATGATTTGATAATAAAGTTCAGCGAGCAAAATGATTTGATTGTAAAGTTCAGCGAACAAATTGATCAAATTATAAGTTGGGTGAAGAAAATAGGAGAGAGAGTATAGTTCGGTGAAGAACAATGTAATTTACCCTAAAAAATTCTACAACATTTTTAAAATACAAATTTTAAAGACTATAGTAAATAAACCCTTAATATAGCACTTTTAATATGATATTTTTAAAAATCACCTTTTAAAATCTACGTCTGATTAGATTTTATAATTCCATGTCTGCATTTCTCGAAAATCTTTCTGGGGGGATATTAACCCCACGACCCACCCACCCATCCAAGTCTTTAATTTATACCCAAAGAAGAAGAAGAAGAAGAAGAACAACTTCCTCTCCCTTCATTCCACGATACTATCAGCTAAAAACCCTATGATTCCTGTCGCCAGCCGTCGAACTGGCCTGTAGTTTGTGGGAGTAGCTTTTTCCAGCTTATTGTTCAATGGCCAAACAACCCAAATTAATGGGTTTCTTCGACAATTTACCTGATAATGTTCTTTTTCACATTCTGTCGTTCCTCTCCACTAAAGACGCAGCTCGAACCTCCGTCCTTTCCCCGAGGTGGAGGTATCTTTTTGTCTCATCAATATCTGAGCTTGATTTCAAGCGTTGCGTCATGATTTTCAAAAAAGATGACAGTTTCCCGAATTTTGTCGATAGATTCTTTTCTAGCCCCAAGCTGGTAACCTTGGAATGATTTACGCATTAATGGTTGGCTATGTGCTGCATTCCGGAGTGTTGTTAAGGAAATCGTTATATTCTCGATAAAGAAAAAGACCCCCACCTTTACCTACTACTCTTCTGTTTACTTGCCAGTCACTCCTCACACTGAAACTGAGAATCAGAGGTGTCAACGATGTTCCAACTAATGCTTGTTTACCAAATCTCAAGACTCTAAATTTTAGGTCCAAATTTTTATATGTTCGTTCGCTTCTTAAGTTAATTTCCAGTTGCCCTGTCTAGAAGATTTGGAATTTTATATGTGTCGGTTTCGTAATATAAGTGAGCTCAATATCCATAGCCTTTTACTTAAGAGATTGCATTTAGGTTTTGGATTGCTGTACGCCGATTCTCGCAGAGGTTTCAATGCCATCAACATTGATGCTCCGAATCTTGTTTATTTCCAATATGCTAACGGAATGGGTGAAGAATGTACTTTAAGTGAAATGAAATCTCTAGAAAGAGCTGATATTCAAATCACTGTAATGGATAACGAGGATCGTGAACGTGTAGCAAATTTTCTTCGGGGTGTTTGCAATGTAAAGTCTCTTTATTTAGGCATTGAAGATAGCCCTAGAACGGTTAGTGTACTTGGTTATATTCACGTCATGGTTTGGAATATGGAACTCTTTTCTTTTAACATTATAGTTCTTTGTTTGTTTTTTTGTACAGTTTTTTCTGGCACCTCTCGATCCAATGCTTGCATTTCACAACCTTGTTGAACTGGAATTTCGTAATAAATTTAACGATGCATGGCAAGGAACGTGGATCGTGGAGCTCCTACGTTGCATGCCTAATCTGAAGACCACTAGCCTGGAACTGGTATGAAGGCTTCTCTGAGTACCATTTAAGATTTAGTGTACAGATTTGATTTTTCTTAATTACTTTGATGTGAATATTCATTGCAATTGAACATTTTAGTATCGAATATATAAACACTTGAATGAATTTGAAAATCGTTCAAGATCACAATTGAAATCCATGTTACAAACTCATTAACCTTTTTTTCTTCTTCTTTTGTATGCTTAGGCAAGTAAGTCGGGAGGTTTCGGGCCATTGCCTGCAATAGTGCCTTCGTGTTTGTTATTTCGCATCAAGGAGATTTAAATCAAATACTTGATGGAAACGAGAATATGTTTGGAATGGTAAGTTATTTATTGAAACATGCATTAGTTATGGAGAAGCTCATAATTAGAAGAATTGATGTCTGCGAGTAACAACCATCGACTATCGTAGAAAAACTATTGAGTTTACCGAAGGAATCGAAGAAATGTGAAATTGTGACTCCCTAATATCTCGTTACAGACTCTTCCTTGTGTTGTATTAGAAACGCTTAATTGTCTCAATTGGTTAGGTGGTTTTTTATTAATAACAAATGCTATATGATATTATCATTATTTTACAGTTTCTTTTGTTCCCATTATGACCAAATACTTGTGTTTTTAATGGTATAAATGCAGGTAAAGGACGAGAAATGCATAGGTTAAATTATTAAGTAGGAAGAATTCATTAATAAAACATAAATTTATGTAGTTTTCCTCCCTTTTTATGCCATTATTTAATCATGCGTCTTTCATACATTGTTCATCAGCAAACTGGAGTTGTATCCTCTGTTTAATCATAACCCCCAAAAAAAAAACAATCCGATCGATCCAAAGTTCAATTATCGACTACTTGTTATATTTTACATTCTCCCCACCCAGAAACTCAAACGCTTCACTACTTGAGATCAAGCTTTCAGGCAATAGTAAATGGCAGTGGCATGCTGTCCTTATTGCTCTGCTGGAAGTTTGTCTTTCAAATACTTCAGAATAGCTTTGGTTCCTCTGTCTAAAATTGGCCTCCTGATGCTGGGGAAAGAAAAAAATGGAAAACATTTCACATAAGAACCAAAACAGAACATGAAACCGAATTAAGTTCGGGTCTGTAAATCTTTAATGTTTTCTTGTTATGATTTTAAATTTGGAATGACCAAATGCAGCATACCTTCTCAATGGATTGCCATCAAGTCTCAAAACTTGGAGGTTTGGTTCAAGTAGACCCTGTCCAAAAAAAACCAATAACTAAGAAACGAGTGATCATATATAATCTGAATAAGGAGACGGTAAAGGGGCTTTTCTGATTCAGACCAGCTCTGGAGGAAGAGAAGAAATGTTATTGTCAGACAAGTCCAGCTCAGTGAGAGATATATGGTTTTTTAATCCCTGCACATGAATAAACAAAAAGGGATAAAGCCTAAATGACAGTCGAATGTCGAAGAATAATCAAGGAAAAAAATATGATGCAGGCCAATAATTAGCACCAAGAACACGGAAAATCAGGTATGTGTCTTATTTCAACCCTTCACGTGTTTAGGACAATTGTAAGAGAAGAGAACATTTTACCTCAGGGATTGACTGAAGGGAATTTTGGCTCAAGCCTAGGATTTGCAGTTGGCGTAAACTCATTATCTCTGCTGGGACTTCTCGTAGATGCATCCGTCTGTCAAGTCAGCACAAAGGTAAGACAAACAGCAATCGTTGCATAAATACATGGAAAATTGTGCATATGCTTGTGAGTATGCATGCTACATATATCTCATTAGTTTTGACGAACTAACCTCAAATAAAGCTCCTTCAATTGTGGTAAGCTGGAAAATGTAGGATTTTCGGGTAAAGAACCTGGGTTGCCACTTATGTCTAATATCTGGAGCATACACATTGCTTGGAATCCACCGGATGGAATCTATGATCAAGTAGATAACAGAAAGTCCAGCTCGTCAATATTAAAACGGAACTTGCATGCATTGTGATACAGAAACATTCATAGGCAATAGCTAAGTATGTCCTTATATTGCACTGGATATATATTGCATAGCAAATCTTGCCAGTAGAAAGGTCTTGAAATGCACAACCTTTACACTGATGATCCATTATTGATGAAACATAGTATAAAGAACGAACTTGGCATATTTAATTTGCTACATATCAAGGAGGCAATCATGAGTTTGACTGTTTCGCGCATGTACAAGCAATAATTTCTCTCCCAACAGTTGCGGATTAAAATGAATGCAACCTCGTTACCTGTCTTAGGGGATTATTATCCAGCTTCAAACAAGAGAGATTTGGAAGTGACTTCAAAATTGCAACCGGCCAGTCCTTAATATTGTTCCTAGATAAAATCAAAGTCTGCAATTTAAATACGAGTCAATAATGATTTAAGAAAGCAAAAAAAAAAAAATCAGATATAATACATTAGCCACGAGCTTTAAACTTCACGGCTATAGAATTGATATCACAAGTAAACCTCGAATGGAAGCTTCAAGCAACAATACATAATATGCATGTTTTATCCGATTCAGAAACATGGATAGACATATCGTTTTATTTTATAACTGAAGTATACTTCTAGATGGAATGATAACGCTAGAGAGCAATTACCTGGAGGGATAAACATGAGGAGAGTTCAACTGGCAGCTCTTGGATAGAATTTTTGGCAAGATTGAGTTTTAGGATTTCACCCGATTCCCATACTTCAGATGGGACAGCACTTAAACCCATTCCCTCCAATGAAAGCTCCTGCAAATACAAGAGGTGTTATTTGTAAAATTGAATTCGAAGAACTTCGAGAGTGAATTTGGATGTATATTGTAGAAAATAACTTAAACATTAGAAGAAAATAATAAAAGGCTGGTGCTAATAAAAATTTGATATTTCAACGAATCAAGCTTTGATTAAGCAATAATTCACGTTCACAATTTATATGATGCTCTCCTATCCTGAATTCTTGAATCCTATGATGCAAACTAGGTTCCACTAATGTATGAGCCTATGATGCAAACTAGGTTCAACATGAACCTACCTATTGGAAGATCAGATCAAAATCTCGGGAAAAAAAGTTGATATAGTAAAGGAGATACCTTTGAAGTGACGGACAATCGAGCTGCCATAGTGACTATTTCCTCTTTGGCAGGAGATTTAGTTTCCGAATCTAAAAAAAGTGTTCATGATTACTGCTTGAAATAAGATATGGTACCGAGACAAAAATCAAGGGAATTCGTAATTTGATGAAAACCACCACCAGAAGCAAGGAGAAAGTACAAAGGAGACCAGAAAAAGGCTATAGACTAAAAGGGTATCATGTTGAATGTGCAGTGAAAATGCATGTACCTTCAGTCTCAGAAAGTCTACTTCTAAGGTATCTCAGTAAGGCAGGTGTAGGTCCCGTAACCAGTGAACTGCATGGGCAAATAAAAATCATCCGTTGGTAAAAACCTGACTAACACAAGCGCTGAACTTACACAAAAACAAAAAAATCCCTCAATGCCTCTGACCTTCTTAGAGTTCGTAAAGGGTTGCCGGTGAGCAAAAGTTTTCGAAGAGTCGTCATCTTGCCTAGACAGAACAACTAATTAGAACCAAATAAAATAGTTTATCATGAATATGTAAGTGCCAAATGTATCTGTATTGCTTTTGCCACCGAATGTGAAATGAGTCAACCAAAATTGATATTTTTGCTGCATCATGGGCTACATGTTCCTATTAAAGATGCATCATAAGTGAATAAATAGTCATCCGAAGTTTGCTAAACTTACCAAGCTCAGCAGGAAGTCCGGTCAACGAATTATTAGAAAGATCCAAAACTGACAGAGATAACTTGCATGCTCCGACTGGATATTCCTTCAGCTGCATGCATATGAAGTTTTCAGTATGCGGTTCCAATTTGGTAAGATTCGGACTATTTCCGCATGCAAAAGAAGACAAAACCGAGCACAGAAAAAAAAGATGAAATAACTGTATAAATCAAATGATCACATGCACATATTACATTTTTTTCCAGAACAACTATTACACTGAAAAACATGTCACATGACCCAAAAATACTCCTGGCTTAAAGAAACTGCTAGCCTTGATATAGTTAAATCCAACATAGACATCCTCAAAATACATTCAACACAGCTAAGAAATCAGAATGTAGCATAAATCATATACTGTTAGTAAACCACAGTCCACAAAGCAGGAGTAAGACTTTTAAAACAAAAGGCAGCCAAGGTATCTATGTGATGCTAAATTGTTAGTATGGTATTTAGCTTCGATAAGAATTAATATCGTGGTGGGCATCTAATCATGTACTCAATATGATGGTATTTAATTGAATTTCATTTTGAGATATCCGAATGACATTTCATGTGTACATCTAGGAATAGAAAGACTGAAATTTAATCTAGCTTGGCCAAAAGCAGACTCTTTTTTATCTATATTCATCTCACTACAGTTTTCCGATTAAAGAATCATAACAGTAATAAAATGAGGTCAACAATGCAGCATTATGACCAATAGTGAGCTCAAATATAATGATTAGGCAAAAGGAATTGAAATAGATACCTGGTTCGAGTGAAGATCCAATGTCCCTAAACGAGAAAGACCACCTAATTCCTCGGATAACGTTGACAGTGCATTATTCCTGAAATTTTGAGGTGGCAAATACCAGATAAATGCAAAAGGTACACTTTCAGGTAACTATTTAAACTTCTTTCCTAATCAGTGAACAAGAATATGACCCTATATAGAATTCAGCTAGAGAAGAGCAACCCGCTATTGATGGTGGGATTGACGAAATTCCTGCATCATACAGTAGCGGTATGACTTATCACATAGAACTAAAGGATAATTTCTAGCATAACTCTGTATATCACTCACTATTCTGGTGAAGGTCAAGACGGATGAGACGTGTAAGGCATCCAATGTTCTCTGGTATACCACTCAGCAAGTTCTTTGCTGCACGGATGTCAAAATTTCCTTTTAGCTTTGGAGATTTAAACACAACTGATATAAACAGGAAAATTATATAACGGTCTATTACATGCATTGAGTTCCGTAAGCATTGTACATGATGCGAACAAATTCTCAGGTAAAGCTTTTAGCTTGTTCCCCTGACATAATTAGAACATACAGCATAAATTAGGCTCCAAATACATCATTAATGATAACTAATTACAACAGAAAATAAATGTCTTTAAATACCTCCACATCTAGTTTTGTCAATTTCGAACAGTTCGTAAGATCTTCAGGCAAGCTTGTTAGTAAATTATTTGATGCCTGCCAAGACAAGAAGGAACGAAAAACGATTTATGGATCGTATATAGTATTAAATAGACCAAAATGAAACTTGTAGTTTCATGACGAGAAGATTTTAGCACATCATAAATCGGAATCCTTAGTCGTCAGGTTAGCTGATCTCTAGAATCTAATTGTCAAATGATAACCAAATAAGCAACGGTAAATATATTTTTATGGTCCCGAATATAGAACCGTATACAAACGGGACTGCATTGACCAAACCGTATACAAACGGGACTGCATTGAGCAATCGTCTTCTTGTTTCTCCTTCTAGCAATGATTCTCGTCAAAGGGAGAATCCACCTTGAGACTCGTTTGGGAGAGAGCCATCTGATCTCTAGTTTAGGTTTAAAATACTTCTTGATTTTATTGAATATGAGAAGGCCTCTTATATAGAGGTTACATGGAATAAGGTCTCACTGGAACAATAAGGAAATAAGTCTCAAGAGTCAAGACTTCTAAGAAAGCAGGAAATCAAAATCGCAATATCTCTTGATAAAACTATATCTGTTTAATATAATAATAATGTTCTCTCCTAAAATAACAAATGCTAGCATAACAGATATTTTGAAAGAGCGTGAAATCTTGTTTGAAGATAACTCTAGCATCCATTCAAAAACAGAAATTGGGAAAACCGCAGTAAAATACAAATGAGGCGCATGTTTGAGATTGAAAATGACCAACAATGATAAACATAACAAGAAGAGATTTTGTAGATAGAAATGCAGAAAACATAAACCAAAACTATTCGCGGCTTCATAATGGAACTTAAACATTATTTTTAGGAATGGTAACCGTGTTCAAAGACAAAGGTCTATATAGCTGAAGCAAAAGGTGGAAAAATTAATCCAGAAAGCATATTCTTGAAGGCCATTAAAAAGGTAAATAATAACTATGGTGATAGATAAATAGAAAATACAATACCTTTAGGTCTGATAAATCTGAACATTTTCCAAGTGAGGACGGAAGCTCCTTGATACGATTTTTTGAACAATCAAACCTGGAAGTCACAAAGGAATTATCCAAAAAGATAAAATGGATAAGGAAACAGCGGATAAAATGATCGAAGAAATTAGGCAAGACTATCCATTTCATTGTCTGTGTCGATGCATAGCCGTTCAAACATAAGCACATCGCAATACAGGAATGCACACAGAGCATACAAATGTGAACAAGTCGTTAACATCTAAAACTAATTGTACCGCAATGAAAAAGGAAACCATCCATCTATTCTTTATTTGATGGATTGAGGAGAAGCTTACTTGACCAAAGATGTTGCAGAGCCAATTTCCTCCGGAATTTCCACTATAGAGTTAAAAGACACATCCAACAACTTCAGCATAGAAAGCCTATTCAATTAGAAGAAAACATAAGATCACAGAATGGATATTATCTAGCATAACAGAAAAAAAAAACCCATAAAGTAATAGAAAACAACTCACTCTCCTATCGCAGCTGGAAGATCTGTAAGCTTATTGTGACTAACATTCAACACAGTCAATAAAGATAAATTCCTCAGGTCTTCTTTCAGTGACTCGATATTGTTATGTGCCAAAATCAGCTTTTGTAGCTCCACAGCCTTTAAAAAACAGAAGCGACACCAAGAACACTAAGACTATGCTTAACTTTAAAAAAATGGAAATTCGCAATCGAATTACATCGAGAAACAAAGGGATTAAGCTTAAAATTAGAAGAAATTTTCATGATTTACCTAAAAAAAGAACAGTAACCAAAATTAAATTAAATTACCTCCCACCATTTTTCATCCTCCCCTAGAGAATCCAAGCTTCTGTAGATCTCTTCTGGAACATCTCTTTTAACAATTTAAAATGAAGGGGGAAACAATTAATTGAAATGCAGCAATGAATTGGAATGATGGAAAGGAATTTATGTGTTTGGGGACGAAGGAAAGAAATTTACCTGAGAGATCGATTGGATAAGTTGAGAGAACCCGAGGCTCTTGCAGCTTTCAGTAATCGATCCATTTTCTCTGCAGTGTGTTAAGACATGAATGGACTGGAGCAGTGGTTTTGGTTTTTAGATCTCTTCCGTTCGGTCTCTTTACTTTTGTCTTACGCTGTAATAACTGCAGAAGCTAGAAAATAGATCTGCTTCTAGTTCTTGCGTCTTTGTCGGATTTTCATTTTCTCTTTTTTACTTCGACAAATCTTTAAGGAAAAATAACGCATTTAGCACTTAACCTATCCCTTTTGATCTATTTTAGTACTTAAACTTTTAATTTTTTGAAAATCATACATAAAGTCTAGTTTTTGTTTCATTTTAGTACCCAACATTAAAAACTTTTGTTTTTGTTTCATTGTAGTACCCCGTTCAAAATTTATCATTAAGTTTTAAAAAGATTGAAAGTTTAAGTACTAAAACTGATCAAAACTGATAGTTTAGTTACTAAACACGTTATGGTTTTAACGGTGTGTACTAAAATGAAATGAAAACTAAACGTATGTATGATTTTAAAAGAATTGAAAGTTTAGGTGCTAAAATAGACTAAAACTGATAGTTTAGATACTAAACAAGTAATTTACCCACACTTTAATTATAATTTTTTGGGTAAACTACATAAGATACCACTTAACTTTAATTATAATTTACCCTAAATATGTACAAGTGTTTATTTATTATAAATAGAGATGTAACCTGAACCTATGAGACATTGAATAAAACTTCTAACGCCGCCTAGGCACCGAGGATGTAAGCACATTGCTAAACCTCGTTAAAATCCGTGTGTTCTTTCATTTTTCTTTACCCGATTCTTCAACAATTGGTATAAGATGTCAGGAGCAAAATTTGAAGTTGCAAAATTCGATGGTCAGGGAAACTTCGGATTATGGCAAACAAGGGTGAAAGATCTGTTGGAGCAGCAAGGGATCATGAAGGCTTTGCGACCTACAAAGCCAACGTCGATGGAGGAGGAAGATTGGGAAGAATTGCAACAGCGAGCGGCAGGAACCATACGATTATGCTTGGCGGACAAGGTCATGTATCACGTCATGCATCTGTCGTCTCCAGATGAAATTTGGAGGAAGTTGGAAAATCAGATTATGTCCAAATCCTTAACGACTAAATTGTATCTAAAGCAGCGGTTGTATGGTCTAAAGATGCAGAACGATCATGATTTGGTGCAACAGTGAATGTCTTAAATCAAATCGTTTCTAATTTGGCTCGGCTTGATGTGAAAATTGAGGATGAAGATAAAGTGATGATTTTGTTGTGTTCGTTGCCTCTCTCTTACGAACACATGGTGACTACTCTTACATATGGGAAAAAGACTATCAAAGTTGAGGAGATTAATGCAGCCTTGTTGGCTCACAACCAACGGAAGCAGAATGCAGGGGAAAGCTCTCAAGCTGATAGCTTATATGTCAAGGGTAATCGAGACTATGGACGAAAGCCAGAGAATGCAGAGTCTGGGAAGCAGAATTCCAGATTGTCCGAAGTTGAAAAAGCAGACTAATGAGAAGCGTGATGACTCACCCAAGTCTGTGAATGTGGTCGATGATGACAATTCTGATTGCAGTGAGGGTGATATGCTCTCTATTTCAATGACTCAATTGACGGATGTTTGGATTCTTGATTCTGGATGTTCTTATCACATCACGCCAAATAGGGAATGATTTTCGACATACAGGTCGATTAATTCTGGTTCTGTTTATTTGAGTGATGATCGATGTTGCAATATTGTTGGTATTGGTGATGTCAAAATTAAGATGTATGATGGCTCTGTTCGGACGTTGAGTGGTGTTCGGCATATCCCAGATTTGAAGAAGAATTTGATTTCTTTGGGCACTTTGCACAAGAAAGGTTTTATCCCTGAGGCTGATGAAGATAGGGAAACCATTCAGATTGTTAAAGGAGCTTTGATTATGATGAAAATAAAGATGACTGCAGGGAATATTTACATATTGTTAAGGAGTACCGTTGTAGGTGGAGTTCATTTGGTTGAGTCTTGAGATGATACTACCAAACTGTGGCATATGCGTCTTGCTCATCTTAGCGAACGTGGTATGGATGAATTACATAAAAGAAATATGTTGTATGGTGTTAAAAGCTGTAAGCTCGATTTTTGCAAGTATTGTGTTCTTGGTAAACAGACTAAAGTTCGTTTCAAGACTGTGAAGCACACAACTGAAGGGATTCTTGATTATGTGCATTCTGATGTATGGGGGCCTTCCACGACATCGTCTTTGGGTGGATCTAGGTATTATGTTACTTTTATTAATGATTTTCACGGAAAGTTTGGGTGTATTTTTTGAAACAGAAGTCTGACGTTTTTTAGAAGTTCAAGCTGTGGAAAGCTGAGGTAGAAAACCAAACAGGACGAAAAATCAAGTGTTTGCGGTCTGACAATGGTACGGAGTACACAGATTCACAGTTTCTACACTTCTGTAAGGAGCATGGGATTAAGAGACATTTTACAGTGCGCAAGACACCACAATAGAATGATGTTGCGGAACAGATGAACAAGTCGTTGAATGAAATAGCCAGATGTTTGCGGTTGAATGCGGGGCTTCCCAAACACTTCTGGGCTGAGGCTGTTAACATGGCGTGTTATTTTATCAATAGATCTCCAAGGGCATCATTAGCTGAGAAAGTTGCAGAAGAGGTATGGACTGGTCATGATGTTACTTTTGATCACTTATGGATTTTTGGTTGTCCTGCTTATGTACATGTACATGCTGATGAGAGATCCAAATTTGATGCAAAATCGAAGGAGTGCATTTTTCTGGGTTACAAGAGAGGTGTCAAAGGATATAAGTTCTAGGATCTAGTTACGAAGAAAATTGTGATCAGTAGAGATGTTTTTGATGAACATCCCATGTTTCAACAGAAGAAAGACACGACAGTGGTGGATTTCGAGCAATTTCCAGTTGAGAAAACAGAAACTTCTCAACTGACTTCTGGTGGTTCTGCCACGGATGATTTATATGATTATAGTCTCGCCAGAGACAGGGTGAGACGGACGAATATAAAGCCTCCGAACAGATTGGGTTTTGAAGACTTGGTCTCTTTTGTACTTACTATTAGTAGTGATGATCCGACTACTTTTCATGATGCAGTTACTAGTCAGGAAAACGACAAGTGGATGGCTGCCATGGTTGAGGAGATTGAGTCTTTGAATCATAATCGTACATGGGAGTTAGTTCGCCTTCCTGAGGGTAAGAAGTCAATTGGTTGCAAATGGGTGTATACGAAGAAACTAACAGTAAAAGAAAAAGAGGGGCAGAAGTTCAAGGCTCGTTTGGTAGCAAAGGGTTTTTCACAGAAGAAAAGAGTTGATTATGATGAAATTTTTTCTCCTGTGGTCAAGCACACTTCAATCCGAGCAGTACTTGTATTGGTGGCTAGTTGGGATTTGCATTTAGAGCAGATGGATGTGAAAACTGCTTTTTTGCATGGTGATTTAGAGGAGCAGATCTACATGCGGTAGCGTGAAGGTTTCACTCAACCTTGAAACGAGCATTTAGTTTACAGATTGAAGAAATCTTTGTATGGGTTGAAGCAGTCTCCGAGACAATGGTACAAACGGTTTGACTCTTATATGATCAAGATTGGCTACAAGCGATGTGAGTATGATTGTTCTGTCTATGTTAAGAGCCTTGATGATGGTTCTTTTATTTTTCTGTTAATATATGTTGATGATATGTTAATTGCTGCGAAAAATATGGATGATGTTATCGGTTTAAAAACTTTATTGAGTCAGGAATTTATAATGAAAGATTTAGGTGTTGCAAATGAAATTCTTGGAATAAAAATTTGCAGGGACAAAGACTCAAGGAAACTGTGGCTATCTCAACGGGGTTATGTTGAGAAAATACTAGAATGGTTTGCGATGAGCAGTGCAAAACCAGCTAGCACTCCATTGGCGAATCACTTTAAGCTCTCATCAGAACAGTGCCATAAGACAGATAAGGAAGCTGAAGATATGGCAAAGGTTTTGTACTATAATGATGTTGGCTGCTTGATGTATGCAATGGTATGTACTCGTCCTGATTTAGCTCATGTTGTTAGTCAAGTTTGTAAGTACATGTCTAAACCTGGTAAGCAATATTGGGAAGCAGTCAAGTGGATCTTTCGGTACTTAAAGGGTACTGTGAGACATGTAATATGTTGTGGCATTATCTACAACTGAAGCTGAATACATGGCAGCGGCTGAAGCTGAATACATGGCAGCGGCTGAAGCTGCAAAAGAAGCTTTATGGCTTACTGGTTTAGTGAAGGAGTTGGGTGTTCAGCAAGGTGGAGTTCAGTTGCTTTGCGACAAACAAATCACTATTCACTTGGCTAAGAATCAAGTATATCGTACTAGAACTAAGCATATTGATGTAAGGTTTCACAAGATCAGAGAGTTGGTTGCATCTGGAGAGATTTTGTTTCAGAAAGTACATACTGATGAGAATGCCACTAATATCTTCACCAAGCCAGTTACGACAGACAAGTTCAAGCATTGCTTGGACTTGTTGAGTGTTTCGAGTTGTTAAATAAGTAAGGGTTTATTTATTATAAATAGAGATGTAACCTAAATCTATGAGACATTGAATAAAACTTCTAGCGCCGCCTAGGCACCGATGACGTAAGCATATTGTTGAACCTCATTAAAATTTTTGTGTTCTTTTGTTTTTTCTTTACTCGATTCTTCAACAATCGAAACCTTAAAGGAAGTCATGGAGTAAGGGAATTATTCCTAGGAACAAAGTGGAGATTTCAAAGAGAGCCACGGAGGGCATTTCATAATTTGGAGGTCTCCTACGGAAGCTGCTCTCAACCTGGTGTTGGGGGCAGCCTACTATCTTACCTCCCCCTTACCCCATACATATGGGAAAAAAGGGACAGCCATAGTAGCATTTTTGGACTATACGACGGGAAAACGCGGGCGGCGAGGATTGGTTTCCGAGATGCCCCTGGGATATTATGGGACGTTGATTCTTTAGCAATACAAGGTGCGCCACGTGGCGTTTTTAGTAATAAATATAGATTATATTTTAAAATTAAATAAATATTCACTCAAATAAAATATTATTACGGACAAGTTACTCTACTGTTATAATTGAAATGAAAATCTAGCACAACATTTGTTGCCCCTTAAATTTAGAGTTTTAATCCTGCTTAGGATGAACGTCTACTAGGCTGGTACAACCTTGGAGATCTGTAGCCGTGCTCAACTCCGGTAAGCTCTCGGAGTTTTTCAGGTCGACCAATTTCAACCTATCCAGAGGCTGTTGTAAACAATAATAGTAAAAAAATATTTAACATAAATATTCATCTGTGATCTAACAAATAATAAAAGATGATGCCTGAAAGACAAATAGAAGATAACCTTACCTTCTTTCCCTCCCACAGTTCTTCGATCCTGCTACAAGGCATAAGAGGTTCCACAAGGATTTAAAAGGAAATCCTGGCCAATTGATAAGCCGTAACTCAGTAGAAAGATACACGACATCTCCAGAATTTGCTTCCAGATACAAGAGTTTGAGCAATCTTAGTTTTGTCATCTTCAAGAACACATCACCGCTCAAACTGAACGTCTTACTTTGCTCCCTGATAGTTATTCAAACAAATACATAAACACACTTCATAATAATACAGAGAAATCTACCAATATACTGTTGGATATATGAACTGCAAAACTACACCGTTAGCACTGACTGAAAATATAAACAGTAATTAAGAAGAACAAATTCTTAAACCGTGTCGTGGTAAGAACTACTGCCTTATAAACGAATTCGCCCCGATGTGTGTAATCGCTGCAGTAGGCGGACCGTCCCCCGAAATTAACACGGTCGCTCCGAATTCCGTACACTCGAAACCGGAGTGGACTGCAGAGAACTTTAGAAAACACTTTGTAAGTGAATTGTGAATGTTTTTGAATGAGTTGAGAAGCTGAATATAGCTCTCTATTTATAGGCTAGAAATGTGGTTAAAATCGTATTACCACGACCCGACCCGACCCGACCCGACCCGACCCGAGTCGAGCCGGACGGCGGCGGCGGTGCGCGAGAGCCCCCCTTGTTCTCTATCACTCAACAAGGAAGTGGAATGTCAAGCCTTAAATACCATTCCCAATAGTGTTTCCAACACTATGTGGGATTGAGCATTACCAACATATACAATCTAAGTACCATAATCTTTCTACGAACATGCCTTGAACCAGGGTTTCAAATAACGGTCGCGTTTTCGCTTATTTCGGATTTACCGTGATTGCGGCCGTCGCGGGTAACTCGGACAGTGGCGAAATCGCTATATCGCGGACGAAATCGCGGCCGCGGTCCGTTTTTTGAAACCCTGCCTTGAACCGCTTCAGTACCCTAAGAATCAAGAGTGAACCGTTTAATAAGTTTGGGACAATATGGACTATCATGCAGGGACATTATTTTTTCTCTCTCTCATTAAACCCTTAAATGAGCATCAAATATAAGCCCAAAATTACCGATCTAACTAATATGGTAAAAACTAAATTTTACATGATAAAATAATGACTTACAATGTTTCGTGTTAGCACATGATGGATGTCGTTTCCCTTCCACAATCTGCAACGTTTTCCAGGGTTGACAATAGATTTTTGCCTAACAATTTGTCTTCCCGTCTCTTGGAGCAAATCCTGCATCCACAATGTGTTGTCACCTGTAACTGTTATTAGAGATTTCTTAATGAGAGCATCGATACCGATTTCTAGGGAAAATCCACAACCATCCAATATTTTTGTCAGGAATCAATCTTTTCCCCTTTGAAAAAACATGCAATATCCTGAAATATATCCTGCTCGGTCTCATCCAATCCATCAAAGCTTTTTTGAAGTCTATCGTGAATCTCTTTGTTAGAGTCTCTTTCGAGTCTTGCAATAGCACTTCTCTATTTAGTTGTATCTCAACCGCAAAGGAAAGAACCCAAAACTTTAAGAGCTAAGGGAAGACCATCTGCATATTTCACAACTCGTTCAGAAAGTTCCACAAAATCATATGGTATTTTGTCACTTTTGAAAGCTTTCAAACTGATAAGACGAAGCCCTCACGAGCATCCAATATCGTCGGCTTATAAACATGGTCCACACTATAGGCTTCCAACAACTGTTTATCTCTAGTTGCTACAATGATTCGAATTCCAAAACCAAACCAGTTGCAGTCTCCAACTAAGTATTCTAACTGTTGTAGGTCATCGGCATCGTCGATAACAACAATAACTTTGGGCTCAAGATTGATCCACCGGCCGCATGTATGAAGACTCAAACTTTGGGCTCAAGATTGATCCTTGCATCTAAGGTTTCTGCAAGTCTTGCTAAGAAAGCTACACAGTCTGATGTTGACTTGATTAAACGAGATTTATTTGCCGGAAATGTAGGGATGTTGGGTACAATCTGTTTGCTAAAAAACACTATGATAAAAGCATTTTCCTTCTTACTTAATACAGAGTGCACAAATAGTTTATAAGCAAAACTTTTGCGAGTTCGAAAGGTCTGTTGTTGGCTAAAGACAATGGCTTCCAAAAGGCCATCTTAGAGTTCGAGCTGGATTCAGCGGTGGTCGTTCATTTTCTTAACCGTGGTGCAATGGATTTACATCCCTTCGGTACACTAATAAATGAAGTTATGAGCTTGGAAAGAAAAGTTGAGGGATTGAAATCAGACACAATACATAAGTTAGAGAATGCAATACGCAGATCATCTAGTAAGCATGGCTCAAGTGATTGACTCGGGTTACTCATCTTCAAAGTCCTATGAGATTAAGGCCTTTTCTACTAGAGGATGGAGTAGGCAAAGGGATGCTCAAGTTGTAATAATTCATATTTCTCTCAAGGTACAAAAGAATGGAAATTAAAGCACCCAAGATTGACAAAAGCTTGTAGAAAGAGAAAGAAAGAAACTATTTACCTGTCATTTAAATGCCATCCCTTGATACTTGCCACTTCAGTTAAAGCATTACGCCAACTTTGGATCTTGTCCTTGTGTATGTGTTCATGTCTGGCAAAGGCTTCTCCAACTCTGTCATTCTACTTTCCTTAAATCAGGCGGATCAACCTGATAAAAAAACAGGGAATCCTTTATGACCTTTTTCTCTTTTATGTTTAAAAATCTCAGCAAGCTCGTCCTAGCACCAACTTGAATGAGCATATGTTTGGGAAAACACAACGATTGAACACCATGACTCTCGGATCGCTTCAAAAAGATTTGGTCCGATCTCTTCTCCAGCTTCAAGCTTCGGGCCATCCCTAAATGTATGATTCCATTCCTTTTTAAAGCTTCGTATATGATCCGAGAAGTTTTTACGAGTATCTTCACCTCTAAAATTCAAGAAAACATTGTATTTATACCGAGAAGTTTTTACAGTTTAAAATTTAATTATTGGGATTTTTGTAAGTTTAAAAAGATAAAATATCTAATATTGACATCATGTTGTAAATTAAAAATATATAATTTAAATTATATTTACAATTATTAATACTATGATATATAAAATATATTATAATAAAAATATAGAAAAATATTTTAATATAACTCATTAATAATATTTTTATAAATGAAATATTTTTATTAATAAAAAATATATTATCAATACTTTTTAATATATAAATATAAAATTATTACGGAATAATAATTTAAATACTTGTTTTGAAAAAAAAGAATATTAAAAAAATACATTTGTGTTTGTCAATGGTTAAATGAACCGTTGTTGTTCCTAGAGGTCACGGGTTCGAGCATCAACGATTGCAGCGAGATGATTGAGCGTTTATCGTCAAATGATTGAGAGTATTTAGAACATATATTACTTTGTAATCACCTTAACTTAAAAAAACAAGTCAATTTATTAAACTAGAAGCTATTATATCTTTCACTAATTTTATTTCATAACGAGATGGGGTATTTAATTCATCATCATTACTTTCTCCATATTGTTTATCTTTTAGGTTATGTGTAATACCCCAAAAATTTAGATAATGACCAAAATGTAAATTTTGAAAATTTGATGGTCAAAGTATAAAGTTGGGAAAATTTTAAGGAATTAAGTGGTAATTTTCCTAAAAAGAATTTTATTCCATAAATTGATTTATTTAGTGACCAAATTATATATTTGGTAAAGTTTGGTGACCAAAGTATAAATTTTGAAAAGTTTAGGGACCAAAATGTAATTTTTTAAAAAAAGTTACATATGGGTCACGAAAATAAGTAAATAAAAATTTTATTTTTCACATTTTTAAAATGTTGGAAAATAATATTTAATGGTTTAATTCTATGTTTAATTTAAACCGTTGGATTATAGTGACTGAATTGTAATTTTTGGAAATTGCAAGTGCAAAACGATAAAGTGAAAAACTAATTTGTTCATCTTTGACTATTAAAAGATGATAAGGCTGATATTTATCTGATTTTGATGATGATAAGGATAAATATCTAGGTTTTATGGTAATTATGAAGTTATATTAAGGGTATATTGGTATTTTCTTAAGTTAATGATTTAAATAATATTTTTAAAGGATGATAAGCATGATATCAATAAAAAATTTCATGCCAATGTTCATCTTCTCCAGCATATTCACGTGAGAAAGCTTTCAAGGTAAGAAAAATATTTTATTTTCAATTTTTGAGCTAATTCCTTTGGAATTGGGGTTATGTCGTGAAATAGGAAAGTGATATACGCGAAAAACGCTATCATTTGGTACCAATATTGCTTTCTAATCTTGCTGGATTTCAAAGATCCCAAATCTAAGGGTTTGTGTTCATATAAGGGATCATGAAATTGATGATTAATCTTGATGATTTAGAGGTTGTAGATTCATTTTCAAGCTTGATTGATGGTTATAACATGTTCAATCTTCCTAGAAATAATTTTATAAAATTCGATCAAAAGAGGAAATTGTAGAACTTTGTGTTCTGATTAGAGTTGATTAAGGATTTGATTGTAGAGATGTTATAAGGTTGATTGAAAGTTGATTTCATGCTTGAATCGAATCAAAATCGAGCAAAATCATGGAAAACCTAGTTTTTTATCTTTAAACCATTAGGCTTTGGTTTTAAAGGATGAGAAAAATTATGGAAACTTATATATGGTCTGGAAATAACGTAGAAAGTATTCTACAAGCCTTGGAAAAATTTAGGGACCATTTTGTAATTTTTGAAAAGTTGAGGGACTAATTCATAATTTTGAAAAAAGTTGAAAATTGTTGTATAATTGTCTAATAGTTGATATACTATGCTGGAAAATGCTATTTTGGAATTGAAATGAGTGTTTAGATGTGAAATATGACTATTTTGGAAGTTTGAAAAGATTGGTGATTTAAGTATAATAATTTCATAGTTGGGATACTTAAATGTAATTATGTTTTTGTAAAAGCATTTGAATAGTGATAAATTGGAAAAGTTGGTTCCAATGTTAAAAGAAATTATTAAGTGTTAAGTATTTTGATAGAAAATGAGTTTCAAGTATATTATGGAGTTATTTTGGGATATGTTTATGTTAGTAAAATACTAACATATGTATCATTATGAATTTGTGATTTATACAGATTGTGATTGATTTGCGATTGAAGCAAGTCAAATATAAAAAGGGTTTATTGTGGAACATAGTGAGGCACATATATTGGATATATAAAGTGTCAAGGTGAGTGCAATACATGCATGACATTATACATGGATGTTTTATACATCATCAGAAAGACTTGCGATAAGTCGACCTTGTTTATATCAGCATGATATTATGTCATAGTTTTTATAAATTGACATGACATTGATATGTCACTGTATGAAATTATAATGCATTGATCATAGAAAATGTGATATTTTACCATGAATGTTTTTGGGTATAAATTGCCCAATGTTAAATTATAATATTATGTCATTTTTATAAATTGACATGACATTGATAATGCATGATATTTTTCCATGAATGTTACGGGAATATAATGCCCAATGTTAAATATATGGTTATATGATGTTATGGATGAATGAAATAGACTATATGCCCAAGTAAGTCATTGAGGGACAAGGTATAGTTGGCATGCCATAAAGTCCAGCAGCAGGCTGCATACGGGATACACTAAAGGATACCTAGTGTATATGGTGGACACGACCTTATGTGTCATACGGGTTAGCACTACGGTGCTTATATTTGACTCGTGTACCCAGGGTCCTCAGGGTTTTATATTGGGCTATGGGTTATGATTTATGGTTTATAATATATTGGTTAATAAATCGTAAGCATGCAAATAAGCTTACGAGCTTATGGGATTAAATGGTAAGTATATTGGTAAAATAAGCTTACGAGCTTATGGAATGATGGTAAGTATGTTGATAAGAAATTTTATGTTATGTTGATCATGGTAAAATATTGGATATGCATGTAACATGATCTTATGGCATTTGTTTTTGACATTGAAAATCATGCATGAATTGTATTGCACTGTTTATTATTTTAAATTGCCTCACTAAGTATATACTTAGCATGTGATGATTTTCACGCGTCTGTAAAAAGCCAAGAATGGAGTAAAGAGTATAAGGCACTCCGAGCATCCAGGAATACACTAAAATATCAGTAAGACATCCTATGATGGAATTTTGACTTTGTTAGTGGCATGTAATTATTAATGTCTTAATTGCTTTGTTAAATTATTTTGCAACTGTTTTGTAATGGTTAAACTAAACTGCTTTACTCTGATTCAATATGGATAGCATAAATCCATATTAATATATATTTTTAAATAGTATGT